CCTTCCTCAGAAAGCAGCAGTCAGGGAGGACAGCTGGTCATGTCCGGACAGAGGGAGGGGCGGTTCACTAGCGGCCTGTGCATGGGCGGGGAGGGCGAGGGCAGGGATGTGATGCCGAGTTCAGCACCAGGTGCCCGCCGCGCCCTTTTCCGCCCCTAGGTTCTCTAGGCTGCCATCTGAGGGGTGCCGATGGCCAGGCCTTTCTTCCGCAGTCACAGTGCGGGTTAGAACCGCTAACCTTCAGTGGGCAGCGGCGGAGCACCAAACCGTTGTCCCACCAGGTCTCCCTGGGTGAGGGCGGGGAGGGGTCTGCTCCGGAACGTCCACCTGGCTCACAGCGTTGTCCGAGGCAGCAGATGGAGGCCCCGCCCCTCCCAGCTGCAGGCACCCTCGTGCTCAAGAGTCTTTAATTCATGGGGGCCCAGGGGGTGGGGGAACCGGAAACTGGGGGAGGGGTGGTTTGTGTTGCACATGGTGAGACACAAATAAAGCCTTGGGGGAACAATGTGTGGTTCCCACTTGCCTTGGGGTGCAGGGGTGGGGCGTGGCCGAGGCCTCGGGCCAGCCATGCCCAGTGTCAGCACGCGCTTTCCACGCCTCCCTTGTCGCAGGAACCCACCACCCTCCACCTCGAGGGCACTGGTTCTCAGCCTTCCTCATGCTGCGACCCATTAATACGGGTCCTCGTGTTGGGGACCCCCAACCATAACATTACTTTCTTGCTCCTTCACCACTGTCGTTTTGCTACTGCGATGAATCGGGCGATCCCTGTGAAAGGGGGGCTGCGACCCACCGGTTGAGAACCGCGTTCTAGAGCATTCCTTCTGCCTTAACTATCTGGAGAGGCCTGTCCTTCATCTCACAGGGAAGGGGTGCAGGGTTGGGGTCCCCCACTCGCCGGCCCACACTGGGGGCTCGGAAGCAGGGGTGGGGTGTCCCGCGCGCGCAGAACCAAGGCGCCAGGCAAACGGGACAAGAAGTGTTTATTTAGCAAAGGTGAGAGCGGAGGCCGGGTCCGCCGGCCGGGCTGGGGTGGGGGACGCGCTGGCGCAGCCGTGGGCGGGGGGCGGTCCGGAATGGCCCGGGGGCGCCGGGTCCTCGGTCCACCCGCCCGGCCGTGGCCCCAGAGCCAGCCGCTGGGCGGCGGCGCCCGGCCGCCAAAAAATAGTTTAAACAACGAACAAACGAACGAAAAACCGGGGATGCCGTCCTCGCCCCACTCAGAAACAAAACCTCGGGTGTGTGTGGGGTGTCCTGTCTTGTCTTAAAGCCACAATCTTAGAAAACGACGTGGGTGTCCTCCTTCCCTGCCCGCGTCGAGGTGCAGGAAGGGCTGCGCCGGGCGCCTATGTACACGGCCCGCCGGCCCGGCAGGCAAGTGGTAGCACCTTGTGGGGAAGAGCCTCGCTGGGGCCCGGCTCCCTGAGTCCCGCCGGCCGCCGCCGCGCCTCCCCAGGGCGGCCGCTGAGCG